GACCTCTCGCTGCCGAGCGTGGTTGCCGCCACTTGTCGCCATGCTCGATAGCGAGGAGTCCTGGGAGGCGGTGGCCTCCTTTTGCGCAGAGGTTATGTCGCAAAAGGAGGCCGCGGAGCGGGTGCGCGATGACGCGGCAGACGCGCACCCGCTCCGGCGCAGACGTACGGGGAGAAGGCGAAGGCAGTTCGCTGCTCGCCTGATCCCCTAGTGAGACCAGCGGGCTCTGGACAGGGACTTCGGAGTCTGCATTGCACGGCCTCACTCGTCTGGGGGGTGGGTCGGAGGACAACCGACTCGCCCCTCCGTTGGCGCGGGAGCCCTGGCGTAAGCTAGGGCGGCCGGGCGGCGTCGTGGTGAATGTTCACTGATCCCACGGCGCCGACTCAACCGGCGAGAGTCAGAGTAAGTCTGCAGCTGTAGTCATTACACCGCAGCCAGGGGCTGAGGAGAAAGGCATAACGTATGCCAAGGTCCTTGCTGAAGCGCGAGAAAAGGTGGATCTCGCCAGCTGCGGAATTACCGGCCTGAGATACCGGCAGGCAGCTACTGGGGCACGTATGTTGGAAGTACTGGGCGCAACGAGTGGTGAGAAGGCGAACAACCTTGCCCAAAAACTGAGGGAAGGGAAAGAGAGTTCGTCAGGGTGTCCCGACCTGTGAAAAGGGCAGAACTGCGCATCTCAGGTCTAGACGAATCCATTTCTGTCACGGAGCTGACCGCCGCCGTAGCCAGCTACGGGGGCTGCTCCGTAGACTGTATCAAAGTCGGAGAAATCCGACTTAACTCCCAGGGGATCGGTGCCGTCTGGGTGCGTTGTCCCGTCACCGCAGCCAAAAAGCTGGAGACAAGTGGTCGCCTGCTTGTTGGTTGGGTTGCAGCACGAGTAAAGCTGCTGCAACGCAGGCCTATGCAGTGCTACCGGTGCCTTGAAAAGGGGCATGTGCGCGCACAATACACTGCAGAAATCGATCGCAGTGATCTATGTTACCGCTGTGGTCAACCCGGCCATCAGGCGGCCAAGTGTACTGCCGAGCCCAAATGCTCATTGTATGTAGCGGCTAACCTACCTGCGGATCACAGGATAGGGAGTAAGTCGTGCTCCCCTCCTAAACCAAAGAAAGGAACAAAAGCTACTACAAATACGTCAGCTGCTGTCACTCCGGCAGCCAACAGCCCTCCTTCTCAAACGGGGGCAGAGGAGGCAATGGTCATAAATTAACTCATCAATTATGACTCATCGTCTCCTACAGGCGAATATTAACCACTCCGCCGGCGCGCAGGACTTGCTGCTGCAGAGCATGGCGGAATGGCAGATAGAAATAGCTGTAGTCGCCGAGCCATACTACGTTCCTCCCAGAGATAACTGGGTAGAAAGCGTGGATGGCTTGGTGACCATCATTTCCTTGATGGCCTCTGGGTTTCCACCTCTCACTACGATCGCGAAGGGAAGGGGGTATGTGGCTATCCAATGGAGAGAAATAGTACTCATAGGAGTGTATTTCTCTCCAAATAAATGTCTCACCGATTTTGAGGCATTTCTGGACGGGGTCGGGGCCCTTATAGGGCAAACCCTGCCTCGTCCAACTCTCCTCGTGGGGGACTTCAACGCGAAATCCTCGGCGTGGGGATCCCCCACGACAGATGCGCGCGGTGCAGTGCTAGAGCAATGGGCAATGGAGACTAGCCTCTTGGTGCTTAACCATGGATCGGTCAACACGTGTGTGCGACGACAGGGTGAACCATCGTGGACATTTCGTTCTCATCTCCTGCTGTTGCACGCATGGTTCGGGATTGGCGGGTCTTGGAAGGGGTGGAGACGCTGTCGGATTACTTATATATTTAATTTGACGTCTCCACATCTCCTTTGACCCCAGCCAATCGTCGTCATCTTCGTACTCCGACGCCTACGCGAAGGAAGCTGGAGACTTTAGACCGGGAGGCGCTTATCGAAGCCTCAATTGTGCAGTCGTGGCTTGCGCCTCCGGTCGAGGCCGTGGAGGTTGAGAACGAAGCGGAATGGTTCCGGGACGCCATGTCGCAAGTATGTGACGCAAGTATGTCGCGAGCCAAGCCTCAACCTCCAAAGCGTCGTGTGTACTGGTGGTCTCAGGAGATTGCAGATCTCCGTACAAACTGCGTTGAGGCGAGACGCCAGTACATAAGACACCGTAGACGGCGGCGCCGCAGCGCTGATGTGGAGGAACAGTTGTATGGGGCATACAGACAGTGTGTTACGACTTTTCAGCTGTCCATCTCCAACGCTAAGGCCCGGGCAAAGTCTGAGCTACTCGAGACTCTCAGTCATGATCCGTGGGGACGCCCTTATAAGGCGGTAAGGGGTAAAATCCGCCCCTGGGCCCCTCCATTGACAGAGAGTCTCGAACCCCAGCTGCTGCAGGATATTGTATCAGCCCTGTTTCCTAACAGAGCAGAACACCAGCCTCCGGTGATGGCACTTCCTCGAGAAGTGGAACAAGAAGACATCGATATGCCTGTACCCCCTGTGACACAAGGAGAACTCGGTGCGGCCATTTTAAGACTCAGAGCCAAAATCAGGGCTCCGGGCCCTGATGGCATTCCTGGGCGTGCATGGGTATTGGCCCTAGATGCTCTCGGGAACCGGTTCCGACGGCTCCTCGATGCCTGTTTGGAGACGGGCCGGTTCCCAAGTATGTGGAAGACGGGCAGACTCGTGTTTTTGAGGAAGGACGGACGCCCCGCAGATTCTCCCTCTGCCTACCGTCCAATTGTCATGCTGGATGAGGCCGATAAACTGTTTGAGCGAATCATAGCTGGTCGCCTCATCCGGCATCTCGGCAGAGACGGTCCCGACTTATCCGACCATCAGTTCGGTTTTCGGGTAGGACGGTCAATGATTGACGCTATCATTCGCGTCAAGGCCTGTTCAGAAGAAGTGGTAAACCATGGCGGGGTACATCGCCAACGCGTTCAATTCCTTGCCGTGGGGTTGCGTTGGGGAAGCACTGAAGTACCATGAGGTGCCTCCCTACCTACGTCGGATCGTCGGGGCTTACCTGTCTGAGAGGTACATTTCATACCCTTTTGTTGCAAACAGTAATGTCGTGCGGAGTCCCGCAGGGGTCGGTGCTAGGACCGCTCCTGTGGAACATCGGATTCGATTGGGTGTTACGAGGAGATCTCCCTCCGGGCGCCAGCGTGATCTGCTACGCAGATGACACGTTGGTGATGGTACGAGGTGAGACCTTCGCGGACGCTGCCCGTCTTGCCACGGAGGCGGTGGCACAGGTTGTCGGTAGAATAGAGATGTTGGGACTCCGGGTGGCGCTTAACAAGTCGGAGGCCATGTGCTTTCATGGCCCTCGGCGGGCGCCGCCACGGAGTTCTCATATCACTATCGGTGAGACTCGCATCGAAGTCGAGCCCACGATGAAGTATCTTGGTCTCGTCCTCGACTCTCGATGGAACTTCTGCGAACACTTTACTCGCATGATCCCTCGTTTAATGGGAACGGTTGCTGCTTTAAAGCGGCTGTTGCCCAACCTCGGAGGGCCCAAAGCGGGCAGCCGTCGCCTGTACATGGGAGTGGTGCGCTCGATGGCTCTATATGGGGCTCCCGTATGGTCTGACGCCCTTACAGAGAAAAACATCGCACTCCTGAGGAGATCTCAGAGGATGATGGCGGTCGGGGTTATCAGAGGATATCGCACCATATCCTATGAGGCGGCGTGCTTGTTAGCGGGGTCTCCTCCCTGGGATCTGGAGGCGGAGGTCTATGCAGCCATGTATCAATGGCGCATTGACCTCCGTCTCCGTGGCGAGGATCCCACGCTGCAGGAAGTGCAGTCGTGGAAGTTTCATGCGCGTCAGTCCAAGCTTAGAAAGTGGAGGGGGCGACTGGCCCAACCCAGAGCCGGGAGCTGGACCGTGGAGGCTATCCGTCCGGTTTTTGAGAACTGGATGGACAGGGCGCATGGGTCCTTGACTTTCCGGCTGGTGCAGGTGCTTTCCGGGCATGGTTGCTTCGGAAGGTACCTGTGTCATATAGCCCGGAGGGAACCGACAACCGAATGTCACCATTGTGGCTGCTGTGAAGACACGGCACAGCACACGCTGCAGGTGTGCCCAACCTGGGCCAATGAGCGCCGTGAACTTGTTGCCGCAGTGGGGCACCACCTGTCACTCCCTGCAATGATCAAATCAATGCTGGAAAGTGACAGGTCGTGGAGGGAGGTAGTATCCTTCTGCGAACACGTAATGTCGCAGAAGGAAGCTGCGGAGCGGGAGAGGGAGGCTACCACCCTTTTTCCAATCCGCCGCAGGAGAGCAGGGCGTCGGAGGAGGCACTATCATGCCCTCCTTCAACCCCCATAACAGGGGCTTTGGCGGTGGACGCGGGGGCGTCCGCCGCCCGTAATGTATAGATCCCGAGGTGGCGCACGCGGTATTCCTGCGTGCCCCTGTAAGTGTTGAATGGGGTGGTGTTTCTCCAGCTCCACCTCAACGGGAAGGGGCCCTCGGCCGAGGGCCAGCGCCGTCGGGACCGCGGAAGAGTGCGAAAGCGTTCCCGTAGTCCCGGCAAAAGGTGCAGGGACGGAACACCGTGGGGTTTTAGTCGGTAGGAGTCCGACATGATCTCTCTGTTGCCCCCAAAAGGCGAAAAGGCGTTGACAACCTATTGCGCAAGACTCAAAGGGCGATGGCAATAAGAGTCTCGCGAGGGTATTGCACAATTTCTTACGAGGCGGCCTGTTTGCTGGCGGGGTCTCCCCCTTTGCATTTAGAGGCGAGGACACTCGCCGCAGTTTATGTGGGGCATGAAGAGGCGCAAAATCGGGACCACAGACAGACCAACACCCGAGGAGGTTGAGAGCAAGAGGTCTGAGCTGCGTCATATACTTCACGACGAGTGACGATGGAGACTAACGCAACCCTATGCTGGTCGCCGAACAGTCAAGGCAGTTCGTCCAGTCTTGTCGGAGTGGCTGGACAGGAAGCATGGCGTCCTGACGTTCCGCATGACACAGGTGTTCTCGGGGTATGGTTGCTTCAGGAAGTACTTGTGTCGAACCGCTGGAAGGGAGCCTACTTCAACGTGTCACCACTGCGACAACTGCCTCGAAGAGACGGCCCAGCACACGCTGGAGGAGTGTCCTACGTGGGCTGAGCAGCGCGGTTTCCTTGTCGCCGCCGTGGGGAGCGACCTTTCTCTCCCGACCATAGTTCGCTCAATGGTTGAGAGCAAAAGGTCGTGTGACGCAATTCTGGCATTCTGCGAGGAGGTCATAGTGTGGAAGGAGGCGACGGAAAGGGAAAGGGAAGATACAGCCCTTATATCGAGTGGGTCGCAGAAGGAGAGCTAGCTCTCCAGCTGCCGACATAGGTGGGTAACGGGTGGAAAGCCCCCGTGACCCGGATTATGAGCGGCAGACTTAGGGGAGTTCGCCAGTCCTTACTGGTGGACTCGAGATGGCTCTCAAGATTACTGACGGGGAGACAAGAACTCTCCCCGAAAAGCGAGATGGGGTTCGGTGCCTAGTCGGACCAATCATCGTCGGAGTCGCGGAAAAATGCGTAAGCGTCCCTGTGACTGCGGCACTTGGTGAGGAGATGGAACACCGTCAGGTTTTAGTCAGTAGGAGTCCGACATAACCCTTCGCCTCTCCAGGGCGGAGGGTATCCATGAGGATTTCCTGACGTTAAAAGAAAAGGTGTTGACAACCAGATATTGTTCTAATTTCAAAGCCAAAGGTTCTTTGTGGAATATAAAGTCTTCGGTGTCATTTCTATTATCAGTTTTTGGATGATGAAAAGAATATCGCTTTGAATTTTTGAGATTTATAAACTTCCTTTAAATATGTGGATAGAGATTATACATCAAGGGCGCCGTATCAAATAAACATCAGTCGGATATACGATATATTTCTATCCCCAATGATTCTTAATAGAATTATACAGGTGAATGCACAAACTCCCTTTTGATATTTTTTACACTATTCTTCCCAAACATTTTTCTAAGCAGTGCATAAACAACAGAAAAAAAAATTACTTCTGCCAAGAATATTTCGCACCTTTGTAAGGCACATCTGCAAAATGACAGCTTTCCGGGAGAATCAACTTTCAACTTTTTTGTGCTTAAAGTATATAGAATAATTGTAAAATTTCACGTACATAATTTGTTTCATATAATATTGATTGTAATGAATATTATGTAGTACCATCATTGACCTATGTCAATAACAACCATGATATTAATTTATTTTTGGTGAATTACTCCACTAGTTTGTTATAATAAATAATACAAAGATCGAGCAAAAATTCCTTCGATCTGACGGGATTCGAACCTGAGTCTGTGCCATATCAGGTGGACCAACTCAGCTAAAGTTCGAGTCAGCAGATCTCACGAATGCGTTTGTTACAGATTTTTGTTTATTGTTTTAACGACATTTTTGCCGTAGCGCCATCTATGAGAAATAATGGCATGCTGCCGCGATAAAGTTATTATATGCACATTTAGCTGTCAAGTTCGAGTGATAAAACTGCCATTTTAAAATTTTATCACAATAGCTAACATGGCGAGCACCGTGACGTTACATTTTTGTCGCATCGCGAGCGATGACTCGCCTCGACCAATGGCTGCAAACGAGTATTGCAGTGCCAAACATGGACGCAAGGTGACAGCTAATTTTAAAACATATTGTCAGTTCTGCAAAGTAAATTTATCAACATAAAGATTGAGCGCGACAAACAAGAATAACAAGAAATAAACGCACTTAAGAAATTAACTTACCTGATGTTGGTATCGTTGAGTAAGTACCTATACGTAATGAGTCCTCAATATAGCTACGCGCAACGTAAATTTATTATAATAAATTTCTGCAAACTCTTTCTCGTAATAATTCCCAGTATCGTTCTACGTACTTACCTACTTTGACAACCATACGCCAACGTAATCGGCTTATACTGACAGTCTATTATCATTGCTCACATCAGCCGATGTATAATACAAGATCGAATGTTCGATCGCGTTATGCGTTAATACCCAATGCTTCTAAAAGGTTCCCTATGAATGAGCCCCCGGAATCCAATAAAGTGAGGCATTCTAAGAAGACATAGCTAATTTCGTATCGCAGATTACCGAAGGTAGGCACGGGAAATATTATTTACGAGGGACTTTTCTGTCAACTGCCTGTGGAAATTAAGTTTTAGTTTTTGTGTTTTTTCCGTACTGTATACATGTTACATGTAATTTAAAGTTTATTAATTTATTTATTTTATTTTTAAGGTAAAAACAGCTTATGCCACAATGTAATAGAAACTACACACATCAAAAGTGTCTAGGGATCAAGTGAATATTTTTGAAATAAAAATTATTTAAGCAATATTTACCAAATCCAGTCTTCCAGGACGACTTCTTACTTTAATGCTTATGTTTTATTTAACCGCTTATCCCTATATTTAATTAAAATAAACTAAAATTGATGTTTTTGCAAATTGTGGGAAAAAACTCAAATTAACGGCGTCAATTAAATGACAAAAAAATGGCGAAAATGATGATTTTGCTCATTTTTATTGTAAACATAAGAAAATTAATAATCTGTATTTCCACCATTAACACGAATCACAC